ACTCTTTCACAAAATCACTTGAAACTTATCGAATAAGGAGTTGAGAAGTGTTGATAATAGCAGAGGTGTCTAGTGAATTATGCATCAGATTTGGGGTCCCAGGTGAATTTCAGCCAGATTTGGCTGCTTTACTACTCCATCCAGAAGGAGCACAGACCATCTGCAGATGCTTTCCTCAGCCTGACAAAGGGTACCTGTACCTGAAAGCTTGCGAAGAAGAATTTTTCCAACCATTTGAGCTGGTCTAGTAAAGATATCGGATTTACCCAAAGAACCTTGTCTGCCTAGGTCCTTAGACCAACACAGCTACAACCTACACCCCTGAAACATGGAAGTTACTGAATTTTGCCTTTTGAAATGGAAATTACACAACATGAAAAAGAAAGAAGCCAGACTCATCAGCGACATATATTTTCTAAGCCTATGCAAGAAACAACATAATTCCCAGAGGACTCTTTCTTGCATACATACTAGCTTCTGGCTGCGTTATTACTCTATCCAGGAAGAGCACAGACCATGTGCAGATGCTTCCTCAGCCTGACGAAGGGTATTTGTACCCAAAAGCTTGCAAAGAAGAATGTTTCTAACTATTTGAGTAGGTCTAATAAAAGATATCGGATTTACCCAGAGAACCTTGTTTTCCAACCAGGTCTGAATTCAAAATGCTTCAACAAGTAGTGAGATGGTAGAGCTCTGCAAAGGTTGCACCACTCGTATATACCCCCATCCTTGGGATAACAGAAAGGTTGAACAGGACTTTAGGGGTTTCATTTGTCCTTTGTAGGACCATGCCAAAGATTTGGGATCAATGTATATACCTTTCTTGTGGGGGGTTTAGAGAACAGTTGTCAGAAGCTATACATGATGTATCCCCACCCAGCACGGTTTGTGTTTGGGTGCAAAGGACCCAGATGCTATGATCACAGTGTAGGTAGTCTGTATAGTGATCACTGGATTCAATAAATACAGACATATGTGAATGAGAAGAAGAATATACTTAATTTGTGGAGTGGTATGCAACATCTATAGACACTTTGTTTGTCTCTGACTGACTGACTGGCTGATAACTGCTACCTAACAAGCTGGCTGCTACCTAAGAGGGCTATCTCCCAATTCCAAATCCCTCAGCATCCTGATAGGGAGCCTC